GTCGACAAGTATGATTATTTATTTTTTTAACAACATTGCATGCATGCATGCATGTAAATAAATGTCACAACTAAGACAAAGAGCAGCTCGCCATATTGCACGAAGCATACTTGGAGTGCAATGGCAAGTGGCAAGAATCAGAATTTGTTTTGCAGCTGCAAAAGAAGGCATCACAAAGGACCAAATGTACCAGACGATGGATGACAAGAAAACAACTAGAGGAAAAGTATGATGCAGCAATGGCTGATGAGATCATTCGACGAAAACAAGACGATGAAGAACTACGTCGGACACAAATACAAAAGAACCCAGACAACCCTGCTACTTAGCTGAATTATGTTCTACTGATGAGACATATTCCTGCATGCATGGTTCCTGGATACTCCCGGTTATCAATCAGGACCTTGAAGTCTATTTGTGCTGGGACAGCACTGTAGAGGAGGAAGAAGAAGACTTGGCAGTGACCCAATTTTGGAAGGCAGTTGATGATGATCGCGATGTGCATGAAAAAATCGATAAAAAGAAGAAGAAACGTCACCGTGGCAAGGGCAGGTCAAAGAAGCATAGCAAAAAGAAGAAAAACAAAAAGAACAAAAAGCACTCTTCATCATCGACGAGCTCTGAGTCCAGTTCATCTTCACCGAGCAAATCGTCTTCAAGTTCCAGTGATGGCTCGTCTGAGGTGCAATGGAATGATTGGGGCTCGTCGTAGCAAACATAATAATAATTATTGTAATTTTATAAATAGATGATAGAATTTCCTTGGTCAGGAATCTCGCAAGAAAAAGAAGAAGGACAAGAAAAGCAGCAAAGGAAAGGAGAAGAAGGAGAAGAAGGAAACACCAAAGCAAGCTGAGGAAAGAGTGCGAAAGGAGAAGGAGAAAGAATTGAAAGAGCTAGAGAAGAAAAAGAAAGAGGAAGAGCGGAAACATCTGGCTAAGGGGAAGCAGGCTAGGTTAACAATGGTTAATTATAAACAAACATCTGGAGATCTTAAGACTAGGATGACAATTGTCCTTTGATGGCCAGGCCTTGGCAAAAATCAATGCGCAAATCAACAAAGGGGTGCAGTTGAAAGAAAAGTTGAGTACATTGCAACTTTGCTTCATGGGTTTATTTTTAAGAAGCAAGGCAATGAACAGCTAGCTGTGCTATCATGTAAAGAAATATATAATTAAGGTGCATGCATGCTTCTTCCTATCGCTCAGGTCTGATTCTGTTCGCAATGCTGTGGGGAAGGACCTGGAGGAGAATATCAAGTCTCTCAAGAAAGATCGAAACAAAGCGCAGGAAATTGTCGACAAAAATCAGGTGGATTTGTTCATGATACAGACCATGAGCTTGTAACAAAACACATGCAGTAGACCTGCTGAGAGTTTGTTGCGGTACGTGGTCATATCGATCGATCTAGGTGGATAAAGTCGACGAGGCTATTGACATCTCCACCAAGGCGGTGTCTAGGTTTGGAGACTTCTGCAAACAAAGCAACCTCAAATAGAGGTTGAGTGCTTTTGGGGCATGCTTTGCCATAGCCAGCGCTGGCTGTGAGTGAGTTCCAGTGAAAGGGAGGGATATGGTTTCAAGTTCTGGGAACTCGTGTTCACCTAAAACCACTAGCTATATAGAGCCGAGTGAGTCTACTGTACACCTTTCCTTGAAGCACTGGACGGGGCTTCACTTCGGAAGCCTGCCTGGAGGGCAAAGCCCAGTGACATGCAGTGTGTGTGTTTTCTAGACACACCCTTTGAGAAAAAAAGGACTATATGCAACCATCATGTTGTTCAACACCTTGCTATGCTGCATGCACATATAATTATACACATGTGGTGCCATTTCTTCGGAAGGACCTCGATTGGCTGGATATGGATCTGATGTCATCAACAATTTGGTTGATGATGTATCTTCCGGGGCCTCTTGACAAAAGTATCTGTTGTCAGTTGTCCTGGGTTTCTCGGATATACCCACTAAGTAATTCTATGAGCAACTCAGAACCCTGATCCGCACTCTCGCACAGGTTGTCTCGGTTTCCCGCGGTATGAAAGGCATCCAATCCCATGTGAAGGTGCCTTGGTGCAATCAAAGGGTGAAATGAGTCTCAATGTTTGGGCCCTTGTATTCTGGCATGGGTTTATCTCAGGAAAGTGGACAATTTGGTTGCCATCCCGACAGCTATAAACTGGGATCGAAATCGGCTGCCCATGCGGTTCGCAACTTTTGGAAGCACCTAGATCTCCCCATTGTCTTCTGGCTGAAAGCTTGTTCACGAACTGTTTTTGTGATTGTGAGACCCTGATCCTGGGCCAGCTCAACACAAACAAATTTGTGGGTTTATGCTAGCTGAGGCCATCAATGAAATTTCGATACCGGTCAAAAACGAAAAGCTCCCTGCTGGATATGAAATGAAGAAAATGCCATTGATTTATCCTCATGATTTGGTGGGCTATCTATTCAACACTTTGGGCATTACAATATCGCAAGAAGCAGTGACCAGATATTGGCTCCATCATTTGAGCACCGAGCAGCCCTTTGCAGTTCATGGCCCTGGGGACACTAACTGTGTCCCTCTGGGGCTGTATGGGGATGGAGCCAGGTTGGCAACGTTGTACAAACACGAAAAACTGATCGCCGTGTGGCTGAACCTGCCACTATATCGACCCCGCTCCACCAGGAGCTCACGCTGGCTGTTGTTCAGTATCATGGCTGACCAACTTCACAGCCACTGGACAATGGACGCGGTGTTGCGGCATATGCTGTGGAGCTTTTGGGCTTTGTTCAACGGAGAAATTCCACAACGTGGACCCTTTGGTCGTGAGCTCCCGCCAAACTTGGCTGGAAGAGAGGGGGAACAAATTGTACATCGTCGGAAATTACAGTTTGTTATAACTGAGTATCGTGGAGATTGGGAGTGGCACAGGGATCTATGGCATTTTGTTCAATGCAGCTGGAAATCAGAAAAGGTCTGTTGGATGTGTGACGCTAGACGGTGTGAAGACTGGCAATCGGCATATTGGAATCTTGAAGAGAACTCAACATGGGCGAACAATCCCTTTACTAAAGCTGAGTTTATGGCTGAGAGGCAGCCTGAGAGAGGACTCTGTTTCTTGGCGTTGATTCACCCAAGGGTTCATTTGTGAACATTTTTGAACGTCGTGGGATTGACTTAGTTGGTGCTTCAAACCACGTGACACTGCGAGGTCCTTTGTTCAAATCACATGACACTGTGAGGTCCCCTGGTGTTGGCCCCGGGATTCCACCCTTCAGCAATTCGATGGTGCAGCATGCACATACTCAATTTGGGCCTCTTCTACCGCAGCAACGGTGGCGCATTGCGACTAGACTAGACCATATTTAATTTGGAATTCTAGTTGTGGGTGACCCTCCCCTCAATCCCCCCTCTCCTTGCTTGTAGCTTGTCTGGGCCCTCGCACGGCAAAGCTGAGGGTTCTTCTGGCAAACGATCTATGCTTCTTCGGCGAAGGATCCTTTCAAGATCGCTTGGATCGAGCATACGAGCACTTCCAAAACTGGGTGAAAGAACGCAAGATACCACATTCTCAACCCCGATTTCGGGAAAGACACGTTGCTGGTTTGTTCACTTAGACGCCTTTTTGTTAGTAGAGCCTAGCTCTCATTTGTGTGCCAAACATGGTGGTGGTAGTCATGACCATTCTGATCCTAATTAAGGTGATCAAGGCCGACAATGAGGTGTGTTGGACACACAAAGCTTTTAATGGGAGAGTTCTATTGGAATGGCTCAGCTGGTGTCTTGAGAATGCCTGGATGAGATTCCCAGAAAAAAGGAACAAGCGCTTTGGCCTCACCTACCAGGCCCAGACTCTTTGCAGCAATTGGTGGACCCTTTAAGCAGTTGCACCCGTCCATGAGCCATGTGCCCCCCCTTCACAGAGTGTCTGCAGTCCTCAGGAGAAGCATGGCTAGATTCATGGGATTGATGGAGCAATCAAAGCGGTTCTTGTGCCTAACTTTGAACTAGCTGGTCCGTGCATGCATGCATGGGTAATTACAAATTGACATCTTTGCTTGTGCGCGGATGATCTGAGGACGCCCTTCAGAGCACAAGAGATGGTTCAAGAAGGTCGCGGATATGCTGATGCGTTCATTTGCCTCAATATATTGGCTGTGAGGCAAGTGACGCTTTAGCAACAACAGCCTGCTGTGAACAGGTAGACTTGATCTTGTTGTATGTGCCATGCTATGGGTGCTGATCAGGGACCTGCGATTGGAGTGGCAAATCACACCAAAGCTTCATGCACCCTTGGCTATGCTTCATTAAACAAAAATGGTCACAGCATGGCATGTGACAACAAGTCTGTTTCGTGTCTGACGTGTGCCACCAGCAAGGCTTTTGGACACCTTCTGCATCAATGCAGAAAGCACCTGGAAAACCCCCGCTACTTCCATACCTATGCTGATGAGGATTCAATGAAATGGTGCAAGAGTTTCTTGGTGAAGAATTGTGTTTTGGGCAAGGCAGGTGATGGTTAAGTGTGTCAATGATCTGCTTGGATCCTAGGCATAGCAACATATAGCAAACCGCGCACTCGCCATTTGTGGCTGCTTCGCTGTGGAAAGCTACGGATCAGGTCTATGAGGACTTGGATTTCAAAGCCACTTGACTATCTACTTAGCTCTTGTCTGAATGAACTTCATGCTTGATTTGGTGAATCCTATCTTATCTTAGGTTGAATGCCAGGGCGAAAGAGAACGAACGCCGTGATCGTGAGGGATAAAGAAAAAAGTGTGAAAGCGTGTGATCAGGGCCTCATGTTAAAACCATGTAAACAATGCATGTTCTTGAAACGTGCATTTAAACAATGCTGGTTTGAATGTCTGGGTATATATATATATGTCAGGTAGTTTCATAACCTGGTACATCTGGTCAGAGTCATGACTCATGTCGTTAAAACAAAGGGCCCATGTCCCACCCTCTTCACCTCCTTGCACCATGGAACCAAACACCGGCCCCGTCACGCCTGCAGGTCCATGGAACCCATCATCACCGCCGGCGCGACGCCCGCCGCGGCGCCCGCGACGCCGGCGACGCCCGGCGCGGCGACGGCCACCACGTCGCGCGCCACGTCGCGGGGGCGCTCCTTGGAGCGACGCGTGTGGACGGAGGAGCTGCAGCGGTGGGCTGTGTTGGTGAGGTCGGTCAGTGTCAGTCGCTCTCGGTTGGTTGGTTGGTTGGTGGGTTGGTTGGTTGGTTGGTTGGTTGGTTGGCCTGCCTCACGAAAGATCACGAAAGGATACGAAAGGTAGTTAATGGTAACATCTCATTAGTAACCCCTCCTTGAAAAAAAGACAAACATATTTTGGGGGGGGTAGTCAAAACTCTGAACCGCAATTTATAAAACCTCCAGGCCATTTGGCAGAGGGATAGTACTCTAGTACTTTCATTCTGCTTTCATTTTGCTTTTATTTGGCAAGGATAAGCCAGCAGGGCTGAAGTGGGGTTGATTATTGTAGGTTTGTTTATCATTCCAGGGGGTGGGAGTCCATTGAACATAAGTGTTTTTTGTATTTGTTTGATAGGGTTTGAACAAGGGAATCTAAAGCTTTTGGCTAGCCAATGTTTTTGGAAATCTGAGGGGCAACGATAAAACATAGAGATTCCACAAAAACATAAAAATAAACTAGTATTTGTTTGCACAATCAAAGTAGTATTGTAAAATTCTGGTAGGCCAAAAAGCAGATTATTGTTGTAGTGGATTACAATTGATAAATGAACATGTTTATCCATTTTGGGGTCTGGATGTTGGCGCAATTAAAAGTAGTATTGCAAATTCCTGGCAGGCCAAAAAGGATGTTAACATTAGCCTCGTTGGCTCGTTAATGTGGCTGTTTGGTTGGTTGAGGTGATTGGTGAGGCAGGCCTTTCAGAACTGACCACTCATGGTGGGCGCTCACCTGCAAACAGTTGACAGTTGAATGTCCAAAGTTGGCTTGTTGTTTGCATGGGGGTAAGACTAAGCCAGTGTTCAGCTTCAGCCCGACTGTGCGGTGACCAGTATGTATGCTGAGATGAGAATTGGGTCGAAGTGACATACAACTTTCCCAGGGCAAGTCCTAAGTCATGTACAAATGTAAACTCTGCAATATCATTGGCACACACTCATGACATAGGCCTTGTTGACCTGGTCCTCCAGGATTTTTTTAAGGATCTTTGGTGACAACCTCTGGCATCTCTGATTTTGAGGTTTTTCAACTTTTGCTTCATGACATACATACTTGTGGGGGGTAGGCTAAACCTTCATGTCTTAGCCGCAGAAATTTGGAGGCACTTTTCACAAGTCCTTTGTCATTTCAGCTGAGTATATGTCTAATAAAACAAAACAATACATGCATTCAAACATGCCAGTCAGCCCAGTCAGTCCCAAACACTTCGCCTGACATGTCACGCGGCACCTACCGGTCCCAAACAGCCGAAGAAAGGCCTTCGTTTTCAGCGGGGTAGCTGGGTCGTCCGCTTTGAACGTACATCGACGCGTACGGCGTACTCGCGAGCGTCGGCACGGGCGCTTCTTCTCGCGGTGCTTCAGGAGCCCTTCGAGACGGGCGAAGGATCGCGGCACCGCGCCTGGATGGAGCCGCCCGAGGAGCGGGCGGTCGAGGCGTCGAGGGCCTGGAGATCGAGCGAAGGTCGCGAGATCCGGGAGATGAGATCGGAGTAGTTCTGGAGTTGGGGCGACGAACACGTGGCGATCGTTTTCGGTTGTTTTTTCCGGGGTGGTTTCCCAAGCAAGCCAGTTTGATTCCATCCAGAAAGACAATTAAAGACATACGTTTTCCCACAGCGAGCCCTCCTTGAACAGTGGAAACGGTGAAACAGACCTGCTTCCCCGTGCCACATGGAGACATGCAGGTGGAAGCTGAGGGTGGATCATTTGGGGACCGTTCTGTAAGTGTTTCAGGTCGATGTTAGGAGTGCTCAAACCCTGTCATGTTGGTGGAGCTGTTGCAGTGGGAACAGCGCATGGTCCAAGGTCGATGATTGATGTTCTTGGAGGATATACCGTATAGTGAACACAGGAGGACGCCTGTTCACATCAAAAAGTTCCAGGTTTTGTAGCTCCAGGACCCTTTCCGCACCGCTCTGGGTGCCTCTGGTGGCGCCTCTGGCGGCTCTGCTGCGGCATCGACACCTCGCGAGATGGGGAGATTCGATGGGACTCCGGCAGTGGATTGGGAGGCACTGAAGTGGCACGGGGGGAGCAATGGAAGCCGAACCTGACAGCCGAGCTTGATGCGTGTGTCTTGGATTCCAAGCACTGTTGAGCCAGCAACCATGGGTGTGACAAGTGCGACGTTTGGAGCTTCGTAGAATACAACCAATTGGCGCTTCAGACGCAAAAGGAAGGCCGGCCCCAGGTTGCAATCAGTTTTTCCGGGGCCCGTCTCTGGATCTTTCACAGAATTTGGTTGACCATGTAGTCCTGCAAATTGAGCCAGGTCTTAAGCTTGGCCACAGGTGTGGCAGTCTTGTGGTCAATTTGGGACGTCTCGTCTAGTCCATTCGAGTCCAAGGCTTGACTCCTTGACAACAAACCTAAACGCTTCATCGTCACCAGTCACTTACATGACCCTAGGCCTCCAGTCGAACATTCGTTTCGACGGTGTTTGAGGTGGGTGCCGTCCAGTCATACCTTCGTTTCGGAGGTGTCCTCCTGCCCGGTGAGGCTCATCGATGCCCATGTTCCGTCGCGCGTGTCGGACACGCAGGACACGTCTCCCGTGCCAAGCGACACCCTCGCCGCAGGTGCCCTTCGACGCCCTCGCTGCGCCGATGCAGGCGAGGCCGACGGAGCGATTCGGGCCAGACAGTGCGGTCGTGGTGATGATCGAAGCCTTTTTGAGGAGCAGAGATCCCAGAAGCCTGCCATGACCCATCATGATCCACGAGAAACATGGAAAGCCTCCATCGTAATTAGGGAAAGTTGTTTTCCTTTGGGGACCATTTGTCCCATCTACTCAACACTCTGATGTGTTGGTCAGAGGGGTAGAAGTTCGCTGCGGAACTGCGACTTGACTGGGCCCTTGGACCGGGCTTTGCATGTGTCAGGACCCTTTCGACATGCCACCTGACGAAGGGTCTCGGCACCAAGCCTGGATCAATACAGATCCTGGGGAGGACCGCCACTGCCGGGATGGGTTTACACGCCCGCATGGAGGAGAATTCAGAGGAACATAGAGGAATTGGATGACTTGCGGGGTGTTGAGACCTCCCCTATAAGTATTTCCTGTTCAATGGACATCGAGTTCAGGATTCCTTGCCCTCACCAGGTGTTCCGTCACCCTCGCAGCAACTGGAGTAGAGTTTATCATAGTTTATCCCAATATATATCCCCACCAACCAGCAGGAGATACCTTCAACAGGTGCTTGTTTGGAAGCCATTGTTGCAGCATGATCCATTGATAAAATCACTAAACCAAGAAACAATCATAAAGCTCCATGGTTGTTGATGCTCATCCTACATACCTACCAGTAGTAATAGCGTGTTTACCAGTTGGCTTTGACATGTGATTTTTTATTGCTATATTTGGGTTCAGATGCGTTCTTTGTTCTTCGCCCCGTGTCCGAAGCATCTCTTGCAGGACCCTTTCAGTACCGCTGTGCCAGCCACGACGATCGCCACCGACACCATCGTCGACACCGCCTCGACGATTCGCGAACTCAGTCGACGATTTGACCGGACTTTGGCAGCGGATCGCGAGGCCGCTCTCCCTGCAGCGAGGGTCCGGGTTCGGGCTCTTTGGGCGCGTGCATGCATCCTGGGGCATGTGCAGTCTTGTATGACCAATTTGGTGAATCGCAGCAATGCTTTTGAGAGATGCAGCCAGGAGTGTGAGAAAAAACGTAGAAGAGTTCTTGGACACTCATGCCTGGTTTCTCCGGTAACGCGGTTTTGCCTCAGGGATTCCTCCCCAAAAGAGCCAGCTTTCCAGACGCTTTTCAACACACGACCCCGGAAGACGCAGCGCAGTGGCCTAGAAGGATCTGCAACTATGGTGGGGCTACACCCTGGTAGACTAACATGGTGAAAACCACTGGTTGGTAGAGGACAACCATTTTCCAGGGGTCATTGTCAGGGTCTATGTTAGTTTTCGGGAGTGTAGATCTTTGATAAATCAATGTCCCTCATGACCAGCACCTGACTCTGGTCTCCGACATGGCGGCTTAAATGGCGACTGAAAAGTGGCAAGGTGGTAACCTGTTGGAGGGTGCTGGTATGATCCGGTATTTCTTGAACAATCTAAATGGGGGGCCAAGCACCACCCAGCTGTTAGCGAAAATGAGCTCACTATCTATTTGGGGACCACCCAAAACACCCCCTCTCACACCGCTATTCGGCCTTTGACTGAAGCGTTTCATCCCGAAAAAAGGACCAGAGTGTTTCACATGGCGAGACATGCGACACATCAACGGTAACACTGTAACACCATGTGTTGCAACTCCATGGGGCCGGCAGGTCTCTAAGCAAATTGGCGAGGAGATGGAGGTTCTAGAAAAAGAACTTCGAATTGTTCAGGAGCGAACGACTTCTCCTCGTGTCGTTCGGACCGATTTTTGCCAACATGCATGGTCAAAATTTGATCGATACAAGGAATGTCCCCTCTACAAGGTCACAGGATTTTAGTTCAAGGCCCCACAACTGAACGTCAAATGTTAGAGTGTAGTACTACATTACAAGTCGACTGTGTGTGCTTTCTAATGTCAAACGGGGTGTCAAGAGGAGCACAAACTCAGGTTGGTCATGTTGACCCCGTTTAAGTTTAAATCATTTAAATCTCGTGCATGGTTGGGTGCCAACGGCACCTCTTGTGTTTGTAGATGAACAGTGTAACAGAGCCTCCAAGGGGCATTGTGCATGAGTGATTCCTGTATCCTTGTATATCCTTGTCTATGTTTGTGTTGCCGTCCTTTTTGTGGTACCATTTTCCAAGAAGACACATGCACGTACAATTAGACGGGCCCCATAAAGACCATTTCCTACCAAGAGAACATTCCACTTCCATCATTTGGGAGTGCAATTCTTCAAATCACAGCCATTTTGGAGGAGTTGCAAATAAGAAGCCTTTGAACGATGTTTGGCGGTTGCCGCCTCCAAACACTTAAGTTGACAGTTGTTCGATCGAATTCAAGGCTGGCAGATAGGTCTAGGTGTTGGTCTCCACTGTGCACGTCACTGTGCACTGCGACGGTCCCATCGGTGGAGACGGCGGTGGAGATGGACGTCAGGACACGGCGCAGCAGATGGAGCAACAAGGTGCGCAGGAGGCGCAGCAGATGGGCTTTTTGCGCAGTCCATGCCGCGATGGGGTCGTCGGGTCGCGGCGGGGTTTGGAGGATAAGATATCCAGTTGTTGCTCATGAAGCAGGGAGCCGGGTCACTTGGATCCCCCAAACCCGACTCGCTGGCAGAAAGTTGACAAACAATGGCAAACAGTGAAGTTCTTTCCATCCAGTGAAGCTCAAGATGGATTTTATGTGCACGTGGATTGATTTGAGACTTATACCTTATACCATTCTACCATTTCTTTCTCAACTGAGGTGCTGGCGTATAGGCAGATTGAACGCCGGAGCACACTGGTCCAGTTTCAATATGTGGATTGTGGGGGTCCCTAAGCCTATGCAACAACTGCTTTGTAGAGTCTGTATTAGAGGTATTGTGCTGCTCAGCTAAAAAAGTCCAATTCTCTTGCCTGCTCTCATGAGTGAAAACAAACCCTACTAACGATGAACAACTTGGCTCCAAATTTGTTCCAATGCTTCACGATTAGCTTACCTATCAATTCAATTTCAATGACTAAAAGGGCTCATTGTTTAAGCACCACTAAAACATTCAGCACACAGCAAAGTCCTGCAACTAGTTGGGTTGTAGTACTAAAAACGGGGCTCGCGGCTAAGATGTGGGCCCTTCGTAGAGTGCTTTTCCAGTTTTTTGGCTCATAGATTCTCATTGAGTCCTTTTGTATATCTTCAAATGCTTGAACGGAAAGGTGACGCCTGCTACTTCAAATTAAATCCGTCATGAGCCGTGCTTAGATGTTTTCCGATTTGTAGAGAATGTCCAGCAAGTATATAACTATTGGAACAAAGCCACTATCCAATGAGATCAAGCAACCAGATGGCAATGCCCACCCCTTTAGCCCACCCCTTTAGAGAAAAAACAATGCCCAGTGAAATCTAAATGCGGAGCCCGCATGCGCTCCGGGGTGGCGCGCAGTGTGCCGAAAGCAGGCTCGGCGAGCACAACCTGAAGATAGCAGGGTTCTAAGCCCCCACGAGCTTTGGCCTACGAATGAAGCGACCTATCAAACGCTTTCAAGCATGCAGCGCGAGTGAGGCAAACGGCTATATATATATATATGCTTCACACGCGCTCCGTATCGCGCACGAAGCCAAGCAAAAGCGGGGCTTAGGTGGCATGGGCTGGCAAGTACAGTTGCGCCTCACGCGGTTTAACGGGCAAATGAAACCAATGGCTATTGCTGGGTAAGCACATGGGCGCTCAAGGACAGCTGGCTTCTTGGTAGTTTGGGCACGCTCGGGAGCTTCTGGTAGGGAGATGAAAGGATATTGTTGGAGAGCGTAATTGGAATGAAAAGACAGAAGCACGGGGAAGGCTCCTGCGATCTTGGAGCCAGTGTTGGACAGAAAAGGAAAGACCTAGCGTGGCGAGGATCACTGGAAGCAACATGGGCTTGAAATAGTGGCCACTAACGCTTTCCGGGTCAGACATCCTGTTTAGCGGTCAATGAGACTTTGGTGGATGGGCTTGGAAACTTCTTTGCATTCGGGGTATTTTCACTCCCCAAAGTTTTGACGAACAATTCCGCCAGAAGCTTGCGGGTTTGAAACAGCAAACAAAAAAGTAAAGATCAGCAAGGCCTAATGGAGACCTACCAAGAGTATCAGGTGGAAAAACAACCAACACAACCAACGCTCAACGCGATGTCAATTATTTCAATTGGCAAGATTGGGAACAAACGTAAAGATAAACAGATAAACCATTCAACTGGTTTTGTGTTTTTGAACATTAGTGCATAGGGTTAAACTATAAATTAACTATTTGTTTTTTGTTTAGGGTGAGACGACTGATTCCGCGTCAGCACTACTTGTCATACCATCCCTGATCACGAAAGCTAGCATGCTAGCTGAGTTCTTCTTTGCTTTAGCAATTGGTAGTGGAATGAGCTGCGTGCCTTAAAGCTTGATATATCACACTAAGGGGGGGGGGGGCCTGGCCCCCCCCCTCGCGTCGTATATCCCACGAAAGGGCCCCCCCCCCCCCCCCCCCCGCGGTTCAACTCCCAGCTGCAGGCGTTTTGGCATTAGTGGAGGTGTTGTTACATGTTGGAAATTGTTGGTGTTTTGTTTTGTATTTTTGATTTTGGGGTGTGCATTCAAAACCAGGATGTCAAAGACATCATGCACTTGAATTTTGGATGATCCTGGGTAGCGGAAGCACACGTAATTATTGGAGAATCAAGATGACGCTCATGGGATTTTGCATGCGTTTTTGCAAAACATCCACTGATTTAGTGTTTGTATTTAGGATTCATTGAGGAGCTTTGTCGGAAGCATGGTCAGCTTCGTCGGAAGCATGATCATTTGCTCGTTTTTTCTTGTGGATGCATCACACAACATTTCGGCTGCGCCTCGTCAGATGATCTTCATTACCTGAGAGCAAAGTGTTTGAATTTACTGTCTTCGACATGTGTGGTTTGGCAAAATTGTTGAGTGTATCCATAACCGCAAGATTTGCTACCGGCTATTGCCCCAAGACACTCTATTCCTTATACATTTTACCAGTGTTTATCCTACACTACGGACGCCCTAGTGTATGTACAGTCCGTGTGATGTCAGAAATGCTGACCCCTCTTTCCGACCCAAGGCATACAAAAGCGGTGGGTAAATTTACCCTCCAGATTTACCATAACAGTAAACCAGCTATTTCATCTAGACACTCTTAGTGTTTGTATTTAGGATTCATTGACGAGCTTTGTCGGAAGCATGGTCAGCTTCGTCGGAAGCATGGTCATTTGCTCGTCTTCTTCTTGTGGATGCATCACATAACACTTTGGCTGCGCCTCGTCAGTTGATGAATCTTCAATACCTGAGAGTAAAGTGTTTGAATCTACTGTCTTGGACATGTGTGGTTTGGCAAAAAACTGTTGATTGTATCCATAGCCACCAAATTTGCTACCGGCTATTTCTTGAAGACACTCTATTCCTTATACATTTTACCAGTGCTTATCCTACACTATGGACGCTCTAATGTATGTACTGTCCTTGTGGTGCAAGAAATGCTGACCCCTCTTTCCGACCCAAGGCATACGAAAGCGGGGGGTAAATTTACCCCCCAAATTTGCCATAACTATAACCATAAGCCGGCTATTGCCCCAAGACACTCTATTCCTTATACCTTTTACCAGTGTTTATCCTACACTGCGGACGCCCTAGTGTATGTACAGTCCGTGTGATGTCAGAAATGCTCACCCCTCTTTCCTACCCAAGGCGTACAAGAGCGGTAGGTAATCACGAAAGCTAGCATGCTAGCTGAGTTCTTCTTTGCTTTAGCAATTGGAAGTGGAATGAGCTGCGTGCCTTAAAGCTTGATCACGAAAGCTAGCATGCTAGCTGAGTTCTTCTTTGCTTTAGCAATTGGTAGTGGGATGAGCTGTGTGCCTTAAAGCTTGATATATCACGCTAACCCCCCCCTTCCCCCCCCC